CTTCTGCTTATGGTAATATGATTTTGGCTGTGGTTCTCTCAATCTGCCCGTCTCTCTAGCTTGCAGGGTTGTGGTTTGCCCTGTCACCCCAGTTCTCTGATGGATCTAAGAGAAGTTGTTGATATGCAGTTTGTTCAGTTCAGGATAGGAGTGATGACTTCTAGTTCTTTACATGCCAGAGAGGAAACCAGAAGTCAGCAAGGACTTTTATTATTTTTAATTAAATTAATTAATTTCAAAATATGTTTTTCCTGATGTTAGAGAGAGTTGAAGGGAGATGGAGAGGGAGAGAAACATTGATGTTTGAGAAACATTGATTGGCTGCCTCCTGCACACTCCCTACTGGAGATGGAGCCTGCAACCAGGGCATGTGTCCTGACTGAGAATCAACTTTGCCACCTCTTGGTCATGGGATGACACTCACCCAACTGAGCCACACTGGCCAGAGCAACAGGGGCTTTTTAAAAGGTAGTTTATTTTTCTTTCCCAAAAATGGAGCCAACCCTGGGCAGGTAGGGCTGTTCTTTGATCATCTGGGACCCAGAATCCTTTTATCTTGCCACTTTGGCATCCTGAACTTGTAGCTTTCACCTTGTGTTTTGAAATGGCTTCTGCATCTTGAACCATGACATGGTCTTCCAGGCGTTCTCCAGGAAGAAGAAGGGGAGAGGGAGAGAAGAGCATAGTACTTTTCTTTAAGATACCCTTATTCTTTAAGGCTATTTCCTTGAGGTTGCTCTCCCTACTCCTGATTCTATCCGAACTAGTAGACCCTGAGTTCACCAGTTGAAGTGGAGGTTGGGAGATGTAGCTTTAACTTGGATTTGTCATTGAAGAATGGACAGCAGTTTCTACCACAACAGTGTTCCAGAGCTTTCCTCCGATTCTCAAAGGTGTCTATGACACCAAGTGGCATAAGAAACTCTGCTTTACACAATGGCTGTGAGAGTCGGGATCATGGTCTATCAGCGTCACCCTGGCACTGGGATCAGCATCCCCAGATTACTTAGGCTAAGCAGAATCTCATTCGCCTCACTCATCCTTTCTGAAGGCTTGTTATGGGTCAGGCTTTGAACTGACAATAAGCTAGTCCTAACCTACCCTCAAATCATGATTTCTCTTCCCTGGCAGCTTTCGCAAAGTGCACCTTGTTTCGAGAACAAGCCACGGCGAAAGATGATGGTGACAAATATATTTTGTGTAAGGCAAGTGGGTTCTACCCAAAGGACATTAACATAACCTGGCATATATGGACACAGGAGAATCCCCAGGGCCAGAAGATTTCTGAAGGCATCACCAATGGTCCAGCCATCAAGAATGAGGACGGCACATTTAATAAAACCAGCCATTTGAGGTTGGAACACAATGTGGTCACCTGCCAATGTGTGATAAGACACATATCCTTGCCCACCTCCTGCAAGTCGAACTTTTTCCCGTCTCGGATAGGTAAGCATCCTCTAAACATTTCCCTTACTCTTCACCTTGAGGGGGTATAATGTAACACTCAGGTTCCCAGTTAGTCGAGGCCAGTGATGGCGAACCTATGACAGGCGTGTCAGAGTTGACATGCGAACTCATTTTTTTGGTTGATTTTTCTTTGTTAAATGGCATTTAAATATATAAAATAAATATCAAAAATATAAATCTTCGTTTTACTATGGTTGCAAATATCAAAAAATTTCTACATGTGACACGGCACCAGAGTTAAATTAGGGTTTTTCAAAATGCTGGCACGCCGAGCTCAAAAGGTTCGCCATCACTGGTCTAGGCCAAGGTGGGGGCCAATGGGGAAGGAGAGAAAGCTCAGTTTGTCCTACTTCAGCCCCAGAGTCAGCAGTCCAGACTAGGTCCCTAAGCCAGGGTGGATCACCTAATACCTAGAGAGTGGTGACAAGCGTCCTCAGGGGCTGGTAACTTATGGCAGCTTAAGGAGCTGGATGGTCTGTATGACCTGGAATGGGAAGCTTGTCAGCTACTAGGAGAAAGGGGATAGGATCCTGTCCATGCCTCCTGAGGATAAGGGTCTATCAGGGGCCAGGGACCCAACCCTACCAGCAACTCCTCTGGCCAGGCTCCAGGGCCACTGCAAACTGTTGGCTGGTAGAAGTCAAATAAATAGTTTTGTGCTCAAGCTGGGGAGTCCATAGTAGGGAGTCCTGCACATGCCCAGGCCTTTCCCCAGGCACACTAGATCCTGAGCTTAAGACAATACAGCTCACGTTTCCATGGTCATGGTTCTGGTCCTGGGTGGAGATGACCCTGCAGGTCAAATGCATCTGCCTAGAGCTGAGAGGGGTTAGGGAGGCAGGGGCTGACTGGTTTTGCCAGATGGGGCCTCGGGTGTCCTGGAGGGAGAGAGTAATTGTTTTTGGAAGCAAGGGCCAGGGATATGATGAGTGTGGTGTGTGTAGAGTATGTGTGGGACATGGGAAATATGGAATTGAAATATGCTTTGTGTGTATAATCTCTCATATAAAAGGCCCATGGCTGTCACGCCATAACCCTGTCACGACCAAATGAGCAGCGGCTCTCTCTTCAGGGTGGGAGTTTGAGGGGGAGGCTGGGGTGAGTGACTAGCAGTGATGAGCGGTGCAGACAGCTGAGGCAAGCAGAAGGGAGCTACCCGCACAATTTTGTGCCTGCTGGGCCTCTAGTATAATATAGGATGTCCCAACATTCACGCAAGATTTGCAATTGAATTGAATTGCAAATCCTGTGTGAACTTTGGGACACCCTATAAAAGAGATTTGTGTTGGTGACTTGTGGCCGCTATAATAAATTGCCACAGACTGGGTGGCTTATACTCAACAGCTTTATTTCTCACAGTTATGGAGGCTGGAAGTCTGAGATCCGTGTTACAGCATGGCTGGGTGAGGGATTTCTTCTGGGTCACAGATTTCTTGTATCCTCACATGGTGGAGGGATAAGGGAATCTCTCTAGGGTCTCTTATATAAGGGCACTAATTATTCACGCGGGCTCCTCCCTCATGACCTAATGATATCCCAAAAGCCCCACCTCCTAATACCATCTCATTGGGTATTAGGATTTCAACATATGAATTTTTGGGGGACACATATATTCCATATATAGCAGTGTATAGTGATGTAAGATGATTTAGTGTGGAAGCTTGAACATGTGCACGGCATACATATGTGGTAGGTGGTGTCCATACTGCCGTGTATTTCTGGCAGGTGCTAAACACACTATTTGATGTATGTGATAGGAATGACAAGAATTGTGGCAGATGATTGGTGGTCATATCTGTGGTAGGGAAATGACACATGACCATAGATATCTTAGCAGTGGTTGTGTGATCACTTTGGCCCCTGCACATAGGTTTCTTTTTAATGTTTGTCTCCTCTTTCTGCAGGATCTGAGATGGGAAATACCTGGGGGACTACCGATACTTGTATTACTGTTGGCTTTATTGGAGCAGGCATTTTAATGGGACTGATTGTATGTTGGATAAGGTAAGGGGGATGCCAAAGCCAAGTTTAGCCCTGTGTTTTGGAATTGACTCTGGGAGTTCCGGGATCTTTGCCACTGGATGATATTTGAGAGTTCTCAGGATCGATGCTGGGGGGAGTCTGAGTGTGGTGTGTGTGTGGTGTGGCTTTTTCTGATGTTGTGTCAGGGAAGAACTGTCTCCTTAGATCCCTATGTGGTAGCTTGGGACTCTGGGGAGATGCACTGTAAGGCCCCTGTACTTCTTCCTGACATACAGGTCTCACTGTGAACCAGGCCTTTGAACTGTGTATGTTCTGCATTGTTGTTCTCACACATAGAACCACAGCACAGAGAGGGGAATTCCTTCCCCGAGGTGCTCACATTTTGTTAACAGCTTAAAGGGATAGCTTTCAACCAGATTTCACCATTAAATCAGGAATCTGTAGCCCTCATTGGTGTTTCCCATCTAAGACAGCTTTCCAAACATATTTATCCCTAACTGTGGTCCAAACAGCAAATAGAACAGCTCAAGGTAAAGAAGTCTAAGGGACCAGTGTAGATATGTTGCTTAAAATGGTTCTAGATATTAAATTGCCCTCATTTTCGGGGGTGGGAAGACTCCAAGGCAGAATCTGTGCAATAGCTAATACATCTTATTAAAAATGTTTTAGGAAGAAAAAATTGGTTTCGTTATTCGTTGGGGCGATCCGTGCACTTAGCTCCTGGACTGCAGGTCTCCTTGGGCAGCAGGAGCAGCGCTACGGACTGAGAAGTGGTGTAAAACTTCTGCATGGAGTGAAAGAAAATGGCCCGAACCTAACAGACAGCTTGCAAATCACGGTTGGGAAAGCGCCTGCAAACAGCTGACCACTAAGCTGCCCGGAAAAGCGCCCCCTTTACCAGTGGGGTGAAGAAGCCCCATCACTACAGGCCCTGGACCATTGCACTTGGAGAAATCCCTCAGATACCAGAAAGCTACCGGGCTTCTGATCCGGAAGCTGCCTTTCCAGAGGTTGGTGAGGAAGATGGACCAGGATTTCAAAACTTCCAAGATTTCTTATTTTACATTTACTTCTCTAACTCTCTTTTTTCCTCTATTTTAAATCTGTGTATCTATATATAACATATAGTTATTTTTGAGAGTAGAGTTGCACATGATATTGCTTTAACATTAATTCTCAAATGTGTATTTCTTGCAAAATAGGATTTATCTACACTAATAAAAGAGAAACATGGTAATTGGCATATGACCGCTACCCTTCCCATTGGCTAATCAGGGAGATATGCAAATTAACTGACAGCCAAGATGGCGGCCGGCAG